GGCCCCGACTCGGGTGGGGCTGCGGGGAAACCCGGCCGGCCGGGAAGAGGGGCGAGCGCTGGAAGTCGCGCGGGCGAAGGGCTCAGACTCCGACCGCAGGCTGAGTGAAGGAGGCTTTTGTTTTGAAAACGTTCCATTTTAAACAACTCAAAATGGGCCTTTGCGAACCCAGCGGCTTTGTCTCCAGAGACTGTGCATTGATTGCGGCCTGTCCTTTTCTGAGCCAGGTGGAGCGGGGCCGGCGCAGGGCAGGTGAGGCCTCTGTCCGCCTGCTGTATTCTGTCCCGCGGCCCCACTGGCCACCGCGAGCTCCTTGGCGTGGCCCCGCCGCCGGCTGTAGGCTGTAAATCGGAGGAGCCCTGGGCAGCTTCGGAGCCCACGTTCTGTGGAGACCTCTCTGGACGAAAGCGCTGCCCAGGAACAGACCGAGTCCTGGGCTGAGAGGAGGAGGGCTGGCCACCTTGGCAAGCCTTCCAACGGACAGTAAGAAGGCCTTTTCGGGGTTTTCGAGAACCCACGCTTCAGTGGGCCCCCTGGGTCTTGGAAGATCTTGCAGGTCTAGGGTAAATTTTTAATTCACTTAATGTGCAATAAAGGAAGGGCAGGCCACCAAACAAAGGGGGAAAGCGACTCTTGAGGGACTTTGAAACTTTATTTCAGTACCGGGGACTGAACCCAGGGCCTTCACACTGAGCGACATCCTAGCCCCCCCCCCTATTTATTTTGAGACAGAATCTCAGTAAGTTGCTAAGTTGCCCAGGCTGGGCTTGAACTTATGATCTTCCTGCCTCAGCTTTCCAGAGTGCTGGGATTGCAGGCTTGTGCCACAACCACCCAGGCTTGGAGCCTCACTCTCGGTCTTGTGCCTGATATTTTGGAAGATGTTCTGGCCATGCCATAGCCTGTCCATCTGTTTCCTCATCACCCCTGAGACTTGAGCCAGAAAGACTGAGTTCTTAGGTCTTCAGGCTCAGAAAGACCTGGCACGTGAAGGATAGAAGAGTGCCAGCCCTGCGACCAGCACTGTGCATAGTTTCACCTCCCCTGGCCACTTTTCAAGGTGCTGTCACCCTCTACTCCTGTCTTACACACAGGACCCCAAGGCTCATGTGCAGCACTTGTGCCCAAGGCCACCACCAAGCAGACAAACATTCTTTCCTCACTGCAGAGTTCTTCCTGGTGCAGTGAGACTTTTGAAGGTGTGTTCATTTCACTGCAGTCAGAATAGGCCTAGCTGGGCTCAGCCAGCTGTGTGTAGTTCAGAGAACCGTGGTGGGCATAGACTGTGGCTCTGTCACTGCCACATCCGGTCTGTAGGAATGGCACCACCTCCCCGGGGCCATGAAAGACAGCTGAGGCCTGGATGGAGGGCTCTGAAAGCTAGGTCTGCGTAAAGCGTTACCATCTCCCTCTTCTTCCAAGTTAAATGATGCGGCTTCACAGCCACAAGCAGCAGTGTGGGAGTTGTATTTGGCAAGAGGATTGCAGGAAACTGCCCCCTGCACCTGCCATGGGTTCGGGGCTGCCCTCGGAGAGAATCCAGCCAGCCCTGATGGTCTGCCGTACAGCAGCCCGTGTGAGCGGCAAAGCAGAGGCTCTTTCCTCCAGTCTCCCAGCCGTGTGACTTGGACTACTCAAAGTCACCTAAACGCTTGCATTGAAATTCCACTTTTCTCTCCTTTTTCATCCTCCAGTAGAGGCAATACCTCAAAGACAAAAGCAAGTGTGCAGCAGAAGTGAAGCGAAAAGCTTAAATAACCGAACAAAGGGGCAGTGGCCTTGGGAAGTCTGGAGCCGATTGCATTTGCGTTTTCTCAGCAGCTTCCCTGACTGCCCCCCAACTTCTGCTCCCTTTCTTGGCGGCTGGCTGGCTTTGGTAGCTTAAAGGCAGAGGTCTCCAAGGAGAACATCTGGGCTGAGGCGCTGCCCGCGCTCCCCCAGCTGGCCAGGTTTCTGGAGGGAGAGCCCTGCCATCACCTCACACAGACACGCTGGGAGGGCCCAGTCCCACGCAGACTGTCCTCCAGTCTCGGCGACATTTGGCAGCGCTGACCATGCTTCTAGGTTTCCAGGACTCCACTCTTGGGCTTCTGTGCTTCTGTTCCAAGCTCTCATTTTAGATACCAGATTGCCCAGAGGCAGGAAGACTTTGGGTAAAGTTCCTTCCCGGAGAGATCCAGTTCAGCATCATGATGGTTCCCAGCCGTGTGAGCTTGAGAGCGTTACTGCTATTTCCTGAACTTCAGTTATTCATCTAAAAGTGGTTTCCAAATGTAGTCAGCTATTAGGATGACCCCAAAATTTAAATTCAGGTTCTTAGGCCTTACCCGAGACCCGCTCTGAAATCTCAGATGCAGAAACACTGCCTACCTCTCATGAGATTACTGCAAGATTTAAATGAGATATGAAGTGGTATCAAAGGCCTGCTGTGTGTGTACTCAACAAATGGAACTGCCTCTTGGTATGGACTGATGAATGCTTGCTCATGACTGCATATCTAAAAGCGGATAGGAGCAGGCACAAGGGAACACACCCATGGACTTTGTCCCAGATACTTGGGAGGCTGAGACAGGAGGACCTGTTAAGCCCAGGAATGTGGACCAGCCTAGGTGATCCACAGTGATGGGTCAGTCTCCCTCTCCTCTCCCCTCCCTCCTCTGCATCTCTCAGTCTGTCTCTGTCTTCTCTTTCCGTGTGTGTGTGTGTGTGTGTGTGTGTGTGTGTGTGTGTGTGTGT